ATGGTAACCTTACACATGACAGACCAACCAAAAACCTTTACCCCGCCTTTGTCAGCCAGCCCTCACTGCTCTGACTAGAGAACAGAGGGGCGGGGCCAACCCTGCTCTCTGTAGCAGACAGCACAGCCCAGGCTAGCTCAGGGCTGAAAAGCATACTGGGATGCTGGGGGATTCTGATTCAACTTAAACCAGGAAGGGGTCTGGGGCAGAAGTTCCATAAACTGATTTGACCTCAATCAGTTAAGTCTGATACTACATTCAACCAAGTTTACGTTAAACTATTTTTGAGCATTTTGAAACTGGTTTATGTGCACTGAGCTTCTGTTCTGTTACAGATTTAAACCAGTTTCTGATCACTTATACTGGTTTATGTGCAACTTCTGTATGTAGCTTCTGTTAGGCAATAGTGGTAGTAACTATTACTCCTTTCCCAATATAAATATTTGAATAAGATAACCTAAACTACTTCAGTACAAATCAGGATAACAAAGCATAACTAATAAACAAGTATATGTTAGATAAACGATGCCTTAAGACTTAAACCTACAATCCCTAAAACATAAGAGTTCCATGTATGCAATCTTTAAAATAGTGACCTAACCAAGTGCCTTAAATACCTGTGACCCAATTTCCTTAGGTGCAGTTCTCAAATAAACTCAGTGGGTATTAATCCACGCACTTTGGTGCACATGCATACACATCCACCTACACAATCCCCCAATTAGTGGGATTAAAAGTGTAATAATACTGATTAAGCCTAGAGGTATCCCCTTGATGAAAAAAAAATTGAGTATAAGAGGAAGGCAGTTCTGCAACATGGCTGTTGTGACTCTAATGGCTTCATGCAGCTTCAGAAGAAGCTGACAATGTTGTGGAAAAGATTAGCTTATTAATAGAATTACTGGCCATGTCCAGGTGAGTCAGCATGTGCCTGTTACAGCATCTCAAAGCAGTTTGAGATGCTGGGAATGAAAAAATGTTCCCTGTGCTGCTTATTTGCAGGGCAGACTCTAAGCTTCATACTGGGAAATCCCGGTATAAAAAAAACGCGCTGTAAAAAAAGCAGCACAGCAACCAAAGACTGGGTCTTCCCAAGAGATGCTCTAGCACTGACCAGAGCATCTGTATGCCTGCCACATGCCCCCACTGCTCCAGCATGCTGCCTCAGTGTGCTGGAGCAAATGGAAGTGGGACAAGGCTGGCAATAGTGTCTCAGAACCAGGCTCTATCCCTAATAAGCAGGGATGTGGGTGGGGTGGGGTGGGGACTGTGGGGTGGGGAACTGTCTAGGCAGGGTGGCTCCCCTGCCCGCCCTCCCCAACCCCGCACAGTGCACAGCCACCCCCCTCATCCCCGCATGCAGCAGCCAACTGCAAGCCATTAGGGCACTGGTAGTCCACTGTTGGCAGAGACCCCTGGCGGCGTGAAGTGCCGCCTGAGACCCGAGGGCTCCATTGGTTCATGGTACCAGCCTGGCTTGGCCCGCTAGCGCGCACCTTCAGGCAGGAACAGGCCAGCTCTTGCTGCCATCTGGGACTCCTGGCAGTGCAGGCAGGAGCCGCGCACCATTGGGCTGGCTGGCTTCTGCCTCAATGGAGCTGGCCTGGCTCAATGGCATACAGGGTACATGGAGACAGGAGCTAGCCAAGCCCAGTGTCACACAGCTCCTGCCTGTGGTGGTGGGAGGCCTGTGTGGCAGCAAGAACTGGCCCGGTCCTGCCTGAAGGTACGTGCCAGTGGGCTTGGCTAGTGCTGTGCACCACATGGAGCCCCCGGGTCTCAGGCAGTGCTATGTGGTCGGGGATCTCTGCCAGTAACGGGCCATGAGTGCCACAATGGCCTGCTGCTGGCTGCTGCTGCAGTGGGAGGGAAGTGGAGGGGCAGGCCTCCACCCCTCCTACACTGTCCCTAAAACTCCTCCACAATCCACCCACAAACCCCACATCCCCCACAAATATGATACCCTTCATGCCCAGCCACCAGAGGGGGTGGGAGCTGTGGCTGCAGGGGCAATTGCCACACTGCAGCCCTGCCCCATGTCCACAGTCAATTGACACACTGCAGCCCTGCCCCATGTCCACACTGGTGCTACAGGTCCAAGGGGGCAGATGCTGTCACAGGTGGCAGCAGGTCACAGCCAGGCAGCAGCCCCCACTGCCAGACTGCTGCAGTGGGTAGAGGATGAAGGAGCCCCTCTAGGTTAGGGCTGCTTCAGCAGTCCAGCTGACACAAAGGGCTAGTGTCCCCAGATACCAACTGGCCAGGCCTCAGAAGGTCCTGAGGGTAAGTAGCTCTGAGTTGCTTGGCAGGGCATCTTTTTATACTGTTGGGGCCAGCACAGGTGCTGGTCCCAGCTTCTAGTTCCCCTTGGCTGAAGATCAGGAGGAGCTGGGTAGACTCAGTTTGCTCCAAGTGGCACAATTTGCCCCACACCAAAGTGTATGTTCAGGCACATGTGCTGAGGCACAAACCTCTGGAACAAATTTGTGCCACTGCTATTTGCGCTGCTGCAAGTGCCTGCATGTGTGGCTGTGCCCACTGACTTCATATGCATGGCAAGGACAAATCTTCAAATGTTGCTGAATTCCTACCTGCCTGATGACCTGTTTGGGGGAGGAAATGTAGGCCTCAGGTTTTGTTGTATTTATGACTTCCATGGCAAGATCTTTTCCATTATTATTATCAGATCTATTGAGATAAAAATCACCTTTCTATACCTACTCACCACTCCCCTGTTTATAAATTTAGCTTTTTTGCCACAGTATCATCTTGACAGCTCATGGGAATAGATGCTTGTCTACTATAACCAATAAACCCTTTTCAGGGTTGCTGTTTCTGAGGATGATGTTGCTAATTCAGAATGTTGAAAGCTTTTCAGGATGAATACAGTAATGATATAACTATGTGCACACTATTTACTGGTTCTCAAATAAAGAGATATTCCTCCTTTTATAGCAAATACCTACACATGGGGAAAAATATACATTTGCCTTAGCACTCTTTATCCAGGAAAATAAAAAAAATGAAATGTCTTTAAGAATATGAAACATTTGAGATTTCAGTCCTGCAAACACTTCTCATGCATCTGCTTAACTTTATTACTGTGAGTAGACCCAAATGTGATAATCTGTGCTAGAAAAGTTGTGTGTGGCCCTATGATTTATATGGCCCCATGTCTCAGGTGGGTAAACTGAGATTCAGAGCCTGCTCCTAATCACAGGAATAAAAAGCAAAAATCCCATTAACTTCAAAGGGGCAGGATGTGCCTTATCCAGTGACTGACAGAACTGCAATCATTTCCTTCCTGTCATCCAGTATCCACTTAAATGCTTTCTATCAATTAAAAAAATTAATAATAATAACAACAAAGTGCTTATTTGAATCTTAAGCTTTGATCAAAAGTTCTGAGGAAAAAATATTTGCTTCTGCTTAAAGAAATATTACCAAGTACTTCAGTACACCAAAGAACATATTTTCCCCTTTGTATCTACTTAATTCCCATTAAATTTAATAAGAGCTATGTAACCACAATCAATGGAAGAAGGAGGACATATCAATAAACTGCAAGCAATATCATTTTAACAGCTTTTGAAATGTATTACCAGGAAGCAGATGTGGATCATGTTAAGCAACTACTGAGGTTAATATTTCAAAACCCTTCGTAGTTTCTTCAGTTGAAAGCGAGTATAATAAAAAGTCTATCATTTTTTTATCATATTTGTTTTACTTTTAAGAGAGCAGATCAAAGACCTGTACACATTACACAGTGACACACCTTCTATTGCACATGAACACAAATGTGGTGTATTAGTTTTAATGAGATACTCACTTGAGTTCTGGAAAATTTTCAGATGATATCAAACTTTGTAAGGCACGGTTTCCTGTTAATTTTAAGTGAGTTAAACCATGTAGCCCAGTCACAGGAAAAGAGGACAAAAGGTTGGATGACAGATCCCTGTATAATAGCAAATAAAAATCAGCTTACAGGGTTTTTTTCCTTCAGCACTAGAAATATTATATTTTAAAAATAGTTATTTAACTGGACCAAGTTTACTAAATTAAACAGTGGGCCCTGGTCAGCAGTGACAGTTGGCAACATTATTCAGAAGCACAGACTTCTTTATCCCAAAGAAAACATGGTTTTACTCTGGCATCTTCATTTTCAGTGGTAATTCCTGCTACCACAGCACTAGTTTTTTAAAATCTGGTAATGAATTGATTGTGTTCTGCAGGTGAGGGCCAATCCCAACTGCAAATAGAAGACCTTTTTAAGCCCTTTGATACCAACCAGGCAGAAGTGGCTTATTAAAGGTTGTGAAAACACATTTTTAAAGCTGAAGTGGGGCGATAGGCTGGAGGGTGGGAATGACAGGGGATTCTACCCAGAAGCTTCACAAGAAAGTAGCAAAAGAGCCTGAGGAATGATAGCTGTTATCGCTAATATTTTTCTTCTTGAAATAAAGTACCTTGTTCCACATTAGGAAGTGGATCTTTGCAAATATTGCAGTCATAAATAGAGACTATTGAATGTGTGATCCTAAGTCTCATCACTAATGCCTATTCTGGCAGCTATACTACAGACATTATGTAGTATATCTATGTGAATGTAGTACTGCCAAATACAATACCAAATAGTACCAGTGGTGACCTCTTGGTGTGGATGGAATTCCTCCAGTCCTTAAGTGGGTTGTAATACACCCACTTACCAGAGAGGATATTGTTATCAAATAACAACGGTTCAGGTAGTGGAAAGGAGTGTGTCAGAGCAGACATTCTACTGGCTAATTTAGATTAGCTCTGAGAGATAAGTTAAATAGCTGCTACAAGTATAATCAACCCCTGCTGCCTCTACTCCTACTTCTCGATATATGGCAACGGGTAGGCTGAGTTTGAGCAGAGACACAGAGTTGTAAGAATAGGTGAAATTCTGAGCCAGGTGGGATGGAGAGTGCTCTGAGCATGAAAATAGGGGAGCCCTGGGGTAAAGCAAAGGGCTAAGAGCTGGGTGAGAGAGGAATTGGTGTCAGAGCTGTGGTTAGGAAAGGGTGTCAGTGTGTGGACTCTTACCCTCATGAGGACTAGTGATGGGTGAGAAGGAAGGGTCTGGGTTAGAGAGAAGGAGCTGAGGGGGTTGGAGTGGCTGCTTCTGAGGGATGGTTTAGGTTGGCAGACCTGAGCGTGGATAAATGAGGGATGGATGCATGACTGAGCAAAAGTATGTGGCTTGGGCAAAGCAAACAGTGAGAGCAGTGGAAATAAGAGCTTAACCAAGTAAGAGAGAAATGAGTGCAACTGGCAAAGGGGGATACATTTACTGTGCTGCCATGAGCTTTCCTTTTTCTTTCAATTTCTCCATGAGCTTCATTCATTTTCTTCACCATGGTCTTCACTTTGATATTTGCTTTTCATTTGAAAAATCTGGTCAGTAGGCAGGGGGGAATGTTGGGAGGAACCGTAAACTATTAAAAATCCTGTTGCTACTGAAGGTGGAAAGAAATGTTACTATCCCTGTGGCTATTTGCTGGAATGTTAATGAAAATCAGTAACTCATCAGACAGTACTTGGTATACAGATGTGCGATTTTGGTTGCCTTTTCTGGGAATGAAATGCTTATGCCTGCAACAATATATATAATTAAATACCAAGAGTGAAATCCTGGTCACGCTGTAGTCCATGGCAAAACTTCCATTGACTTCAATGGAGCCAGGATTTAATTCTGATTCTTTGGCCACTATTGTCCCTCCACTTGGTTGTTAAATGCTTTGTTTCCATCAGCCTCTGTTTGGCAATACCAACTTAAATGATTTTTTTACCAAGTTACTTGTATCGCTAGGTTCCCTGCTTCATTTTTTCAGGCTTACCTGCTCTTTCTTGCAGGGAAACACACAGGAGAGGATAAACAAGAGGATATTTTCTTCCTATATAGCTTTGTCACCCAGTTGTTAAGTTGGGAAGGGAGGTTTTGCTATCAACAGAAAAAGTGTGGAAATTAACAAGCCTAAGCGATCCTGGGAAAATTGTGAGGCAAAGGGTCATTTGTAAAGAGGTGCCAACACACCTACCCCTAAACAGTGTGGTGCTAGTGAAGGCTTCCCTAGCCATCCACTACCTAAGGAATCACAATGAAGAGTGGCAACAGCAGGTAGGAGAAAGCCAGCAAAGACTTAGAAGTACTTGTGAATAAGGGCTGCAAAACTGGGCCTCAAATACTTTGACCAATATGCTATTAACTCTGAAAAAAGGCATTAGGAAAGAAAAAAATTGGTATCATATTAGTGACACCACTGAAAGAATCCAGAATGCTTCTTAAGAAAGTGTATTGTTTTGTTTCCACTGTGGATCTAATCCCTTATTTTTAATGCAGAAAATACTGTAGTAATGATTGGCATTACTGCTGAATTTGGCAACAAGGGATTGAGCCACTAGCCAGCTGGAAAAAAATGGGACACACACACATGCTTCTTGTAGGTGTGGACAGATATTATACGTAAAACACTTCAAAGGCCTTTGAAACATCTGAAATGCCAGATATCTAGACATACTTGTCCTTTGAAACATTCCCAAAGTGGCTGAAACTCAAAAATAATGCCTCTTTAAACAAAGTACTGTTTTGGACTGTTTCACTTTTGTTTAGGTCTGCATGGGGACACCACAGGGACAGCCAGGAGGGGCTAAAGCTAGAATCACTCCCCCTCCCTGCTGAGGCTGTAGCTAGACCCTCCAGACCCAATCCCCTCTATCCTCCCCTCTAAGTGGAAGCGGAGAAGTTTGGGGGACTGGGGAGTCCCCAGAGCCACTCCATCCCTTCTTTCCTCTCCTTTATGCTTTCCCTTGTAGAGTGCGGGTTGTAGCAGCCTGCCTTAGTGTTACTTGGCCAGCAGAGGCTCTGCTCATCTGTGCCAGACAGCCTAGCCATAGCTGCTCGGCATGGAGTATAAAGTCCCCAGTGGGAGAAACCTTTCGAAACTGCCCCCTTCTGACCCCAGCCAACAATCAGTTGATTGTCAGTCCCAGAACCCTTTTAGATCCCAGTGCAGTTTGGGCCCCAAGAATGACAATAAGGTGCCTGTTTTTGGCACCTTAAATTGGGTGCACGTGTAGAAACCTTCCTATTTATGCTGTCATTAATAGGTTAATTGTTACATAAATGTAACATGTAGAGGGGGTCTTGGAAACGTTTCAACTGTCAAATCTGTCTGTGTCCTGTGATAGATAATTTTCATATACTGCTATGAATGGAAGGCTTTTTTATAATACCCATGAGAATGAGGAGATAGGGTGAAAGAGCAAAATCTAAAAAGGGGCTTCAGCAGCCCAGAAGATTAGTTATAGATTTTGAGCCAGAAATTCTGCTGACCAGAGCCCAAAACTATTAAATGGTAAGCTTTTTAGAAAAAAGAAATATGAAAAATAAGTAAATACTTACAATTTGATCAGAGATGGTAAAGAAAAGAATGCACTGGGCTGAATAATTGCAATTTGGTTCCAAGCTAAATCCCTGCAAGAAAAGTAGTGGAAAATTACATACTCTGTATATATCTGGAAGCTTTCACAGAAATAGTTGCAATGCTAAATATAAAAAAGGTATTAGTGATACTACAAATACCTTTAGTTGGCTTCTATGCTTAATGGGGTCATGTATATCATACAGTGACAAGGATGTATTCTGTTTCAAATGCATTGGCATCAGACAGATACAAAAATAGCACTAATTTGTAAATGGCTATCATGCCATTTATCTTCTAAATAAATGCGCTCAACCTTTTTCCCCCATGGGCCAGATGGGCACTGCCTGGTTGGTCTGTGGGTCAGATCTAGCTGGTGGTTCTCATTTGGTGCCTGGACATGTTGCACACCATCTAGATCCTTGGAGGGGGGCAGGGAGCAGCTCTGCAGGGGAAAGGAGCATGGCCCGGCCCCATGGGCAAAGGGGGCATGACCCAGCCCCAACCTCACCCCAATAGGGGAAAGGGGCATGGCATGGCCCCAGCTAGTGGGAGGAGGCATAGCCCAGCCCCAGCTTGGTCCTGTGGGGTGGAAAAGGGATGGCCCAGCTTCAATCCAGAAGCAGGGAGAGGGGGCCTGGCCCGGCCCTGTGGGGGAAGGGAGCATGGCCAGGCTCGGGGTTTGGGAATTTGGCAGGAGGGAGGGTAACCATATTAATGGTCATTGCTCCCCTGCCACTAAATTTCTGGACCCATGGGAAGTCCCGTAGGCCAGTTGGGATGGCTCCATGGGCCACATTTGGCCCATGAGCTGGAGATTTAGTACCCCTGTTCTAAACAGTTTATGGAGTCTGCAAACACATACTTGTATGAGTACTCCTTGCTCAAAAGAATAATCCTAGTGATTTCACTGGAAGTGCTAATATTAGTAAGAGCGACTTCAGTACATGAGAATTTGCATGATCAGAGCTTATATATGTTTTTATGTGTTTTTGACATAAGTCACATAGCCTTCTCCATGTGACTGATGAGTTTACCTGTCAAAACATACTAGATCTGTCTCAATGCCTTCCTAGTTCTTTAGGAACATTTAAGAGTTGCAGCTATTATAGCTGCACATTTACATCTGTGAATTCATTGCTGGAAATGCTCAATTTCAAAATGTTTATTTTGCTTTGGTAAATATAACCTAGTGGTCTGAATGATCAAAGTGAGAAAATACTAACACAACTGTTGAGGGGTAGTGGAACTGTTGAGGCACTCACTGGAAGTGAGTGCATGTTCTCTGAGAACCAAGGTAAAGGGCTATTACGGCTATACTCACAGAGAACGCAGGGCAACCAGCTGCTGAAATGTGTCTGCTTTGATTTCATAGATTTCATTATGATGCAAGTCACTGAAAAAGCAACGAGAGTCTTACTGGTTTCATAGAACATAAACTTTGAGGAGTATTTTAGACTGCATATATAGCTTCAGGTTTGAAATCAAAAGCCACACATGCTAGGGGACAAATCAAACATCACCAAATTTGATTCAGTAACAAAATTAATGGGGTGTACACACACTAGGTGTGTGTGCACACATTTTACCTTCTTAAGACATTTTGTGGATATCTGCAGACTTACATTTTCTGAAGTTTTTTGCAAGCTGTAAAGCTGGGTAAATCTTCTAAAAGATTGTAAGACAGATCCCTGCAACACATAGGGTATGAAAGGAGTGAAGCCCTGTGATGCTATAACAAAAAGTGAATACCTTTCTCTTGACTACATCTGAGGATAACCCACCCCAAATGCAGATTTCTTTTGACTCTCTGGATAGTGATATTGAAAGTATATCTGTCTGTATTACTCAATTTACATCACAATTTAAGTATTTTTCAAAATTTAACTCGCAGTTAATTTAATTACTTAAAATAATCTACTATATAAGTCTATTTATATTTTGTAAGAGAAGATCCTAAACTTTCTAGCTACAATCATGCTGAAATTTAATCAGCTTTCCAGACTATACTTTAAATTAAATAATCATGCCTCTGACCCTTAGAACTGCTATATCTTTTAGCTGAGGGAAGTGGTTAAGAAAAAAATAGAAGTAACTTTGAAATCAATCACTGCAAGGAGAAAACCTGAACAGACTTGAGCCAAAATTCAACAAATTACAAAATAACTGAAACATCTGGACTGATTTATAGTATAATATAACTAATCAAAAACAAGCCATGGTAATTTGCAGAAATTGTAAAAAGAAGAAAGAAACAGTGTAATAGAGCCCCATCCTGTACTCCTTTGTGCAGGGAAAAATCCCATCAAACTCAATGGGAGTTTTGCCTGTATAAAATTATAGGATTTTACCTATAAATACAAAACATGTCCTATGTCTCTGTTTTCTAATTTATCAGTTAATGAAGTAACATATTTTTCTGTCTGAATCTAATATTTAGAACTGGCACACCTTTATGGAATTACAAATTTATGTTTTGCTTTCCTGGAAACATTTTAATTCTGTTTATACTCATCTGTTGTTTTAAAGAAAGCATTCCAACTATTTACCCTATGCTTGCTTGTGAAAACAAATGAAATATATGACAGCAATATGTTTGATTTGATTGTACACACTGTCCAGGAGCTGCCTCAATTGTAAGTACTCCTGCTCTTGCAGGGTAGGTTACCTTAATATGTTTTCGGCCTGTTTTCAGATTTTTTTTTTGTGCTAGTCAGATGTACCAGATTGGGGTCTACAGACCCACACTATCCTGCAAAGAATGGATGCTGTCCAAAACAATGCAAATTAAGCCAGTGCCTTCTGCCATTATAAACAAATGATATGTTACGAAGCCTTGAATTCAATTATGTAATACAGTGCACTGAATACCAGTGCAGATGTCAAAGTCATTTCCAGAAAAATTAAGTTCTAGCTAATGGTTTTAAAATAATAATTTCCAGAATATTAAAAGCTACATAAAAGCCAATTGAATTGTAAATATGAAAGGTACACAATTTCAAGACAGAAATATGCATTTCAAGTTACTGTTGCCATGTCAGCATGTGTTATATACTTTATTTCTTATGGCAAAGGCTTTATTTGTCTTCTGCTCTGGAGAGTACTTATCCTTCACAAGATAGTACAGTTCTGTAGAACTTAGTCTACATGTAAAATTCCCATTATTATCAATACAATGTGGTTTTTAATGTTCTGGAAATGAATTTATTTAGCTCATTAACTAGAATTCATTTTTTTCTAAAAATGTTCATGACATCTATGTTGGTGCTCAAATAATGTGTTATAATTATTGCTATTTCAATGTTGGCCAAGAGAATTAATACCAAATACATTTATGCTGATGTAATACATAACGTGAAGTGCTGTTGGCTCATTCACAAAGAAGTGGACAGAATGATTACTTTTATTAGCGATTAAGCTAACTCTGTGGTACACTTGCAAGATAAAATAATATACTGGTTTCACTAGTATAAAAAGTATGCCTCCGCATGTCCAAGAAACAGACTGCTTTAAATTTCAGTCAAATAGAAATGCCTGGTTAAGATGTAAACTAAAGAGAGGGCTATAACAAGGACCCAGAGCTGCAGTCCTTACTTGGGTATATCTTCTATTTACTTCAGTGGAATATCTGCCTTAGTAAGAAATCCGAAATTGGATCATTTTAAACAAAATTACCATAGAAGATATTATAAACAAAAATAAAGTCTTATAACTAGCCTTGATGGCTTCTCTCCTGATGCTATTAAGTTGTATCTTGTGTTACCTTTTCCTAAAAATGTACAATATAATTTATATATAAAAATTGTTTTTTGCACTGGTCCTATCAGGAAAATCCCGAGTGACATTCCCGTTCCCCAGGACAGGGACTGTTTTATTTGTTACATGTTGGAACACAACCTAGCACAATGGGGCTCTAATCTTTGATTTGAATTCTAGGTAGTATTTAATGCAAATAACCAACAAACTGATAATAAGTAGATTACAGTAGTCCACAAACATATGTCACTTAATCCAGCCATTATACTTCTGCATTAACAGGCATTATTAGCCTTACTGAAACATACAGCACTTGGAGATTAGGTAACTGATCACACGCGGTTTTGGGAAGAGAGGTGATCTGTGCTCCTGTGAGTGTCCTGTTAAAATAAAATAAAAATTAGATTATTTTCTCTTTCTCTCACTCTAAAGTGAGAAAATTAATGTTTTGTTTTACATAACATCGAAGCATTTGTCTACCACTTACAAACTCTCTAGGCTTGTTGTCCCAGTCAGGTCAGGAAACTCAGTTATCTGTGAAGCACCATTTAAAGTCCTAGAGTTGAAAACAAAATATCATTACTGGGAGAAAAGTACAGGACAATGTTCATGATGAAATGGATATTTAATGTCAAAGAGTTTTTGAAGAAAACGTACAGGGTTCTGAGTTCTGGTAAGTGTTGAAATGCAGATTTTCCAACAAGCTGGATAGGATTGTCATAGAAATGACTGCAAAAAAAAACCGAAAGTAGACATTTTAATGATAATTTTAGATGTGAGAGTATACTTCAGAAATAGAGGTAAGACTATGTGAGGATGATGATCTGGAAATTTCATGCACCTTTGACCTTCTCTCTTTCTGACTCTTTATCCATCTGTAGCAGCCACATTTTGAATGCTTTAGCAGTTTCAACAGGCTATCCTTTTTTTATGTTTTCATATTACCCTGCTACAACAAGATTTTCCTTTTTTTCTTCCATTTGTGAAATCTGCCTCCCAAAATGGCAATGGTAGGATACCCAAGGTAAAATATCAAATATGGATCAGTGATGTTTAAGGTATCTGCCTGTCTAGAAACAGGAATTTCACTGGAAAACCTTTTATTGCACTTTTAAGTCATACTGTGCACACCAGCGTTTTTGTAGGCAGTAATTACAAGCCTTAAAACTGTATTAATGACAGCTTTCATCTCTCCTTCAGGCCTGCTTAGTTGAACCCATGAGCTTGAGGGAGCCATGCTTTACCAGAAGAGATATGATGGCTCAATGGCTGGTCTGCTTTAGTATAACAATGTATATATTCCATATGTCTTTCCACTTCAGGATTATGAACTAAAGGAATAATGTTCAATCTCCTTTATTTGCTCTGGAGCCGATAGGTGTACTTAGACATATAAATTATGACACAATGTTTCAAAGATATTTAATCTTCACAATTTGTTTTCAAATATCTGTTTTGCTATGAAAGATGAGGAGAGGAAATACTTTCTTTTTCTTTTAAATTTTGCCAATGATTCAGAAGGCTCTGCAATGCTAACAAAAGGACTTTCTCAAAGATGTGGAACAAAACTAATGTCAAAAGCAGGCAATCATTGAGTAATGATGGCCTATATGTGGTTAGAGGTAGCAAGGGGCAAACTCAGGTTTTTACCACTCTGTATTGGGTTTGGAAGTAATATAACATAAGTCTGGGCCAGCATAGGACTGGATTTCCTATAAACGATGAAACATTTTTGTTAATAAGGTCAGAGCCCTGGGTCTTTAGGTGCGCAGACTATGAGGATGTACAAAACTTCTCTGGTACACTGATCTGTCAGATTCTGAGAGAAGAAGACTATTTCTGACGTGCTATAAAAGGTCTCTATTCTTCTCATCTCAGGTAGCACAGCTTTCTGTAGAATCCATCAAGGTAAATGGATATTTTATTTAGGCTTTTATTTAACAATTCATCATTATTCAAACTGAGACTGGCATAAACAAATGAGAATAATCTTTTGCTAGCTCCTGCACTGTGGTGTCAAAAATGTTGATCAGAAGTAAGAGCTTGAGTCAAAGGTCACTGAGGGATTGTTTATTCCCCTACAAGAGTAGCATGTGGGATTGGGAAAGCTGAATGGCTTGAAAGGCATTAGACTCAGTCCACTCACATTATGCTACTATACAACATATATATATAGAATGAGAACTATAGAAAAAATAAAACGCTGAAGAAAAATGTTATATTCAACTTCATGTTTTCTACCAAAAACCAACCAACCAAAAATGCTCAAACCAAACAAAAAGAGGCTACTTACATTGTTATAAGTGATGGATTCCCCACAAATGCTTGCTCAGGTATTGATTTGATGTTATTACTATGAAATCCCCTAGAAGTGAAACAATACTTTGCATAACAATAGAAAGCACAAATACAAGACCTGTGGTATGTTTAAAAAAACCAGCGTGTTCCTCATTTTCCAGAGTACCACAGAACTACAGACTTGCTCATACCTGGAATAGCTATTGTGCACTCTCTCTCTCTCCATGTGGATGTGCCCATTCTGCATTGAAAATCCCGTTTTTTGCAGTTTAGCTGAGTCCACTTTGGGAGTAGATTAAGCTCAAAAAGCATTCCTAGGCTTTTCCTATATTATCAACTTCTGCTGGCAAAGCTACATGGGGTAGAGGTCCTATATCACCACCCTGTAGCTGAAACAATTCTGCTAGCGACCCTCCATAGGTGGCTTCTGCTGGTGCAGTCTGTTATTTGTAGGAGCTGGTTTAACTCCAGTGACAGAAAAGCTTCTGGCAGAATAGCATCAACTCCAGAGGTCCCAGCTGCCTTAATGCTGCTGCCATAGCTAAAACAGCAGCATCCCCCTGAAATGTAGATTAGGGGCAGGCAACCTTTTCTGGCTGAGGGCTGAAATGACCCCCCTCCCCAAGGCCAGAGGTGGGCAAGTGCTAGGACCTTGCCCCCTCTGGCAATCATCCTCACAGTGGCATGGGGAGAGGGCCCAGAGGTGAAGCTCCCCACCATTGCCAAGTGCCACCACGATTGTAGTCACAGACCAGATCTGGCCCATGGTTGCCAACCCCTGATGTAGTTCCATTGTATAAGAAGAATGTCCACAAAGGGAGTCAGTGCGGGAGAGCTATTGTGTTCTGAATTCATACTCTAGTTTATTTCACAATAGCTTTTCTGTGTATAATGCAATACACTGAAAACCTCTGTAGCTGTAGGCAACAGTGTCTCGCTCTATCTAGTCAAGACAGAGACTATAATACTAATCAAGGGAAAATCAAAAGTATTGTGTTCAAAATTTGTCTTGCTTCATTCCAGTTGCTGGGATTACTTCAGTTTATGCAACATGTGATGTCATGACATACCATATGTTGAACCTCTTTGGGTTCTTTCTTTCTTGAATCATTATCCAAATGAACAAGCTATATAATGTGCTTACTGCCTTCTAGGAAGGAGACTAAGTCTTTGTTATGTAATTAATTACTGAATTTTATTCATATGAGTAATTCACCATTGTTAAAAACAAAAGAAACAACTAAGGTTTGAAAAGGAACAATGATGATTTGTGTGGGAAACTTTCATTAGCTCAGTCGGGTATGAAAAAGGCTTTCCAGATTTAATTTGCACGTTTAGAAAGCCTTGAATTGTTCACTGATGCAAGCATCCCCAGTCATTACTTGTACCAAGTCCTGATTATCAGTTTCACTGAAGTACTTGTCCTGCCTCTCTTACTGGGTTAAAAAAGCAAGGCTCTACAATATGTATCACTTCTTATATATCAAATATAACAGCAACAATAACAACAAATGTGCCTACCATGCAGTTAGACCAAACAAAAACAAAAAAACCCCCAAAAATGAAAAGCCCCATTTATTCTATCTAAAACCAACATAATGATTCGATGGCCCAGGTATCACTGAGCTGGACTCTCCAGATTAGTCTTCTGCTCTCTGCATGGCAGAAGTAGCTAAGGAAATGTCCTGGGTAACTTGCAGGGAGAAAACTAGTCCCTCCACAAACTAGAGCTTTCCTTGTTGGTTTAAGGGGAATAACATTCCTTTTATTCAAAAGGAAATTTGTAGTGACAGCTATACCATGTAAAGCAGTTATATATAAGGTGACTTCAATTCCTTGTCATGCAACCACTTCTTCATGTACTCAGCTTTAAGCATATGAGGAGCACTTGCACTTAAAAGAAGGTGCGTAAGTGTTTGAAGGATGCAGGTCTAAGTGTTGATTTTTCAAAGTGCCACACACCTGTTAGGTGATGCTGAATGCCCTCAAGTCCCATTTAAATCAATGGAAGCTCAAGGCAGTCAGTACTCAGAAGATGCTTTACAGATTGACTTTTAAACCTTAATTGAGCAAAGCTCTTAAGCAAATTTGTAAAGTACCTTGCTAAAGTGGCATTTTAAACTATTGCAATTTCATGCTTCAAAGCAGTTTTCCTATTCAAGAGAGACTGAATTAAAGGCATTTCAACATACTGGCTGAAGCTATGTAGTCTGACATTAGGAGACCTTACTAGGGAGACAACTACCTGAAATATTGTCAGACAACATATTGTTTCATTCAAAGCACTAAGGATTGCACCCATTCCAACTTCTATGTTTTATGATCTGTGTTCAGCATATCATTTATGTCCCTAGCCTATGAGAACCCAATCCTGAAGTCAGCAGAAGCCACTTCCAGCTTGCAATATGGTAAGCTAACTGCTTATTGTCCCAAGGGGCTCTTATGACATCTTGGAATAAGGTGAATTTAGTATCTCACGGTCACATTAAATTCATCCTGATATGCTCCCTATGCCAAATCTGTAGTACTGGTACAGATGTTCCTTTATGGCATTACATTGCCTGCGAATTTCTCACGCTGAATTTCCCTATGCCTCCATCTCTATTGTGCAATAGCAACATACACCACTGTTAATAGTCCAGTGGATCTGAGATCATTCATATTTTTTTAAAATGTATAAAGTGCTACCACTAACACTGTAGATAAATCACACAGAAATAATTTAAAAAATCTAGATCACTGGTAACTTTTAATGCTGTTTGTTTCTTTTTGGTAGTTCATTTGGTCTGCACTATAACCTATGCTGATCAATTTTGACCTGCTTTACATACTATGCCTGTACTTTCAGAAGTTTTGGGGTTTACAGCATTACAGAGGAATGTTTACATTGAAAAGAAACTGTTTTAAATTAAAGTTAAAAATGGAAAAAAAATATTATTCCTATGGGCTAACATGAATCCCTACTTCTGTTTCTTTGCCCGGCAGATCATGGTAGTTGTTTTGTTTTTTAATGCCCTTTTCAAACACAGTTCCAATTTGGGGCTGAAGCTGAATTAAGTGTCCCTTTTACTCTTTTCGTATATTGTATTTCAAGCACAGTGTTCCAGAAAATGAAACCCTGTTGAAATACTACGATTCAATATAAAATATAAAAATTATCATCATGTAAATGTTCAAAACTAAATATTGAAAATTACCTCTTTTACGTATTAGCATGTTTAGTAATATTTCCAGGAGACTACTTATAAAGCACACTGATAAAATCATCAGCATTTTTTAAATAAATCAAACAATAAATCAAATGAAACATTTTCTTTCTAGAGCTAAGTTCAATACTTACAGTTCTTTGAGGTTTGTGAGTGTCCTGATAGCAGTGGGGAACTCATCCAGACTGTTATAATTTAAATCTCTGCACAAAAATAGATTGCAGTAGTTACATTAGAAAGTGTTAGTGTTTATAAGAAAGAGTCATCTTCCAGGCATTAAATAAAGAAATACTTGAAACCAAAATTAAGATAGGCTTGTTTTGTTAAACTTTGCAGCTCTCCAGAGCACTTCAGAAACTTCTGCTTTGCAGAGAATATAGCTTTAAAAACTGTAAATAAAAGCTTATTTGTCCAGATAATAGAGGTATTATATATTTACTGTTACATATGACAGTGGACTGGAACAAGACAGTACTGAATTATACAGATAGGAATAAGCCATACTTTATTTCAGACTCTGTGGTTTGATTAACTATTTTATGGACATTTATAACCTGCCTTGGCTATCCTTGCCAACACTTGTTCCATGACACTCACTGAGACCCATAAGGCACCGGTGCACATGTTAGCCTTTGTGTAACAATCAGCTATCCCAGTGATGAATCTTAAAACAACCTCTCCATTGATGGCCCTGCCAGGTAGTGCAATCATAAATGTTGTTGGGAAAGTACTGTATTCTTTCACAGCTGCTCTTATCCTTCTTCCTAAATTCAAGGTTGTCATCAACATTTTCTCCTTTCATACCAGGTGGGTGGGGTTAGACAGTTATCTTAGCCTTTTTTGCTATTTCAGAACAGAAGTCTACTTAAAGTATCAAATTTCCTCCCTTCTGTTCACTTATTATACTGAGAGACTTTCTCTGAACTCTTTGTGGACTAGAAGTCAAAGTTGTACTGATGGTTCCCAGTGACAAAAGGTTTAGTAAAGAAGGGTTAATTTATGTGATTAAGGTTAAGGAGAAACATGGAGTGATGACTTTACAGTTGCACTAGGATCAGAAAGCAAAGTGAATGCTGCATGCTCCTGTTGATTAAAAAGAAAACCAGCTGTTAGATTCAGATGAGGATTTATGTTTGAGATTTAGTATCGCCATGAGCATGAACCCAAATGCCTTTGGGCCTCTTGTGTGCTCTGGTTGGGTGAAACCTGTCAACAGCACACTAGTGGAGAGGATTCAGTTGGTTCTGGTATGGAAGAGGGAGGGGAATGGATATCTGATTATTTTTGTCCTTAATAGCACAAAAGGGTAAGGAATCTGCAGTCCAATAGTAAATAAAGGTGGCGATATTTTGATTTCTACATGCAACAAATTACATTGCTTTAAATTTCAGGAATGGCTTTTAGTTTTTCTTTCATCTTTTTTCAGAAGCATGTTTTGAAAACAATTGAGGAAAACTTCAACTGTACTGCTATCACCTGCAATGAATAGAACTATAACAAGAACTGAGGTGATTGAAACTCTCTGCCAGAGACAATTTTCAAGTGAATCCTCTAAAGATTGACAGTTGAAATAGGAATATAATGCATGTATTTGTAATGACCATATTTGCTCAAATACAAGACAGGGTTTTTTCCCCTAGTAAGCAGGGGGGAGCCCCCACCCCATCTTACATTTGAATACAAGGAAATCTCATTTAATACATTGCTTATCATTAAACTGCTGCCAAATGCAGTATGTGCTTAGAAATAGAAACCAACTATGAAATTGATTAAGTGCAGCCAACACTGAGCATGACTATAAAACACATATCCCATCAGCATATTATCCCATATCTTGGGCAAGCATGCTAATACGAAGAATAGGTTAATACAACCCATCTGAGTAAGATATATGGTAGTGCTCATTGAGCACAGTTCCTCTCAGAGCTGACTCTCTTTCAAGTCATGGTGAGCCACAACACTGAATACATTTTTACTTTCTCCTCACTCCCACAGCTGAGCTACACTTTTCTTTCCCATTCCCAATGATTCCTGTTTCTTCACCAGCCTTAAATGTCTGGCAAACATAATCAAATGGGGCCCTATAGAGTTCACCCAGAATCCCTCTGCCACCCCCTTTCTTAGTCTGTTGCAGATGTGGCAGAATGCCACCTTTGTCTCTCCCCCAAAACTCTGCTATGTGACAATTTGGTTGACATAATCCCTGTAGAGGGCAGACATTCCTCTCTCAGGTGACACCGAGTTGTAACCTGAGCTGGATACATTCCTGAGGGAGGGGGAAAACCTGGTCCCTTTGCCTATGTGACTGACATCACATACCTGGATGAGGGGCTTATGCTCCCTATTGTTTTAAGCAAATGCCAACCTGACTGGGAGGGGGCTAGAGACTCTGCCAGTCTACCCTGCAATCAGTGATGCATTTCAAATTGGTTGGCTGGCAGCCAACAGGTGCTGACCTCCATTGGACCAGGTAAATGAGATCAAAGGTTACCCAACCATGCCAGTTTGTTCTATGGGATTTCTCTGATATTGCTCTACCCTGTACTCTATTCCAAACCTACTCCTTGTAACCAATAAAGTTCTCCTTTGTACCTAGCATGGGAGACTTATGCGGCGGGGGGGATGTCTAGATTATGCCTTGAGGTCTCCAGGTTCTTGAAGTGGGTCAGGTACCCTCAAGGGCTACTAGGCCTGTGTTTCCCAGGGGGTACAAAGCCAGGATGAGTCCAGACCCTGGGTGGTGGTGGTGTTACCCTCAGGCTAGTGGGTGTGCTTCAGGAAGGGGGTCGGCCAGATATGAGGCACCCCCAGGGAGGCACTCAGAGCCTGGAAGGTGGTTGGGCACAGTGAGGTGGGTGGCTCAGCATAGGAGCACCCCCTAGTGGCCTACCACAGCATATGATTAGTGTGGCCCCACACTCCATGAGGTGGAACTGCACCAGGTTGCCCTGCACCTCATCTGCATATAAATTTTTGGATCTCACAACTCATGACAAGAACACCTGGTTCCAGTCATGAGAGGGGGCTAAATAGCACATGGATCCTATGTAAGGGGTATCTGGAGTACACACACATAATGAGCAGTGCTGAGCTCTAGGTTCACCATGGCTTTAACATATTGTTGACTTTGCTGGGGCTAGCCTAATGAGCTACATACTAAATTAAGCCTTTTGGCTTTGGACTAATATCATGCATAATCTCAGCCTTTCTTTAATGCTAAGACCCAGTGTAGTTTGTATGATATATAAAGTAGATACAAAAGTGCTGCTTGAAAGTGTGTCTATGGGGTACCTGTGCTAAAACTTGCAGCAGTTTCAAAAAAGGTAAAATGCATCAATTCTGGATGAACTACATCTATGGGTACTATATGAAAATTATTACAGCTATGTATATTTCAAGGTCAGTGTTTTCAAATTTTCTCCTCACTTCCATATGCATAGGGAAAGCAGGGTCGGACAGTAAGGAGGGGATGAGGTGCTGCAGGGGGAAGAAATTGGGGGAAGGCTCCCTGACTCCCAGAGTTATTTTCCCTGCTGTAGGATTGAGAAGGGAACAAATTCAAGGCAAAAACTCCAATAATTAGATTCTATGCCTGGAAAATTATAACAAATTTATAATTTTTCCATATATAGATTCTAATTATTGGAGGGTCATGTTATATTTAGGGTTGTTTTATATTTGAGTAAATACAGTATTGACAGTGCTTTTCTTTTGTTCAAGAAGTCAAAGGTTCTGACTGTTTCTGCATGCAAGCTATATGGCAAGATGTAGTCTGTAAAGTTAAAAAACTTTTGCTAGAATGCTCTTTTTTCTAATCTAAACTTTAGCGGTCCTGACTAAAGATAGACAAATAGGACTATCTAGGCAAACACAACTGTCCCTAAATAGCTATTTCTCATTCAGGGTCTGATGTATATTTAAAATATGATTAAATAATTTATTAATTTACAATGCCTGCTAAAAGGCAAACTTAATTTATAGTTGGGCCTATGATAAGTTATGTACACTCGCTGGAAACAATCTTTTAGAGTCTATAATGAACAAGGAAGTCAAAAACCATGATTGGCTTTTAGGCCATTTTTATTCTTTCAGAATATAAATGAAAACACTGAAAAAAGGGAAACAAATAAGAGGTCAACTCACAAAGTCTCTAGGCTGTGGAGCCCATCAAAGCATTTCTTTCCCAGGGAGTAGATTCTATTGTTATGGAGATGTCTGCAGGGGAACATTAAGAGCATAGTCAGGAAAGCACGTTGCACACACTGGACTTAAGCAAAACATTTTGATGGTTAAATCAAAAGAAACTTATTTTCAGGCATGCACTGATTATATGCAAGTCATGCTTTTGCAAGAGCATGCATAGGAAGGAATTTTTCGGTCTCTTCTGCACTCACCCCCTATATTCACCTATCCTTTCAGGCTTTGATTTAGTTCCATAGAAGCATTTTGTTTTTTAAACTGCATGGATTGTGTATTTGTTTCCTTTCTTCATTTTTGTTTGAAAAGATGCCTTTCATAAAGTTCTAGTTTTAGACATTTAGTGATTGCCTATTATATGCTAGGTAAATTCAGAAATAGCTTTACTAGTGATTTTATTTAAAAATATATTTAAATAAGATCATGCCTTAAAAACTATGGCCTTTTCTTTGGGGGAGAGGCCAATACATACATGAGGCCTAAAGAAGGAAATTGATATATCCACCTAAACAATTATTAGAAATTCAGTGTGTGTTAATAAATATAACTGACTTCCCTGGTGGATATAACCTGACTCTTTGTTCAACTAGAATAATAATCACTTACTTTCCAATAGTCTGTCAGATAATTTGAGGAATTTTTAGTTTACTATTTTGGGCAAAATTTGAACACGAAGTAGTGCAGAAATCTGGTTTTTGAGGCATTCAAATTCTGAACTGCGATGCTGCTGCTTGAGTTTATTTTCAAATTTTCAGATATAGTTTTTTTAAAAAGCTCTGTGTGCAGGTCATTAACCTGAATGAATGTAACTTAATGTATTTTTCTTACGAGAATGTTTTTTCAGCTGACTTGTCTTTCATTTTACTTTTGTCTATCCACCCCCATGGTCTTGAGAGAAACTGTGGGAGTAGCATGTTGAAGGAAGAGACAGTCTAGTCAATGAGAGACTAAACTCATGTATTTTTAAACTATGCCTAAAAGTTATTGATTATGACATTGGAATGAAGGTGTTTTTCCCTCCCTAGAAAGCAACTTTAATCCCAAATATATTGACTAGAAGAGTTAATCCCCAAACTTCAGTTTCTTTTTATCTTTAACAGCCATAAGCTAAACCCTGTTCACATTGACATCCAGGATCCAGACAGGAAATTAAGAGCATAGGGGGAACTTCACCATGCAGTAGTAAACACTGCATCAAAGGAAACTTTTTTTTATCTTCGTAAGTGCCCTACCTAATGTTTCAGAGGTTATAGAGGTTGAGATGGGAAAATGAAGTGGAGATGTGAGCTAATATGTAAGAGGATAAAAACAATTCAGAGATCTAGAAGTTCTACCAAATGATAGGACCCATTCCTTTAAAAACTATGATCTACAAATGTTTTTAAATATAATGCCGAAATTCAATTTCTCTATGCCTAGTCATAATGTATAGATTTTCTAGTATGTGGTAGTGGCGTTTACACTGTACTGTGTGAACCCTGTGGTAATGGTACCTTTCCAAAGTCACTTCATATTCATTTTGCACAAGTATGAGGTGGTGGATGGGCTTTTTTGCTAGCTTTTGCTAGGGTACACTGAAATAATCAAATCTGAGAATGACAAAGGTTGACATCACGGCTGTCAGATGACGTATCAAAATATACTACAATATATTTATCATCTTATAGGTAATAGTTCAGTATAATTCACAAACCTTCAGGATGCTCCCTTTTTTAAACATATCAGTTTAGGCCTTAAATTAGGGGTGTCAAATATAGAGCTCATGGTGCATAGACCTGGTGCATGGAACTGTTCCATGCAGCTGGCTGTGCTACTGGCAGGCTACATGGAAGCTGGGGATGTGGTCAATGGTGGACATGGCCTACTGTCAAGTCCAGGGCCTTGTTGCCTCTATGGGGAAGGCCATTGGAGGTACGCAAGGGACTAAGGGCTGTGCAACAATAGCCCTTGGTCACCCTGTGGCTGCCTAGCCTACTGCCACTTGCATGCCTTTGCCCTGGCAAGTGGCTGCCTGGCTGGTTGCCCCACTATTGCTTGCTCCACTGTTGCTATGATGACCCCAGTGGCCACTGCTGCTGTAGCAGCTGCCCAATGCCCTGGACCAGATCTGACCTACAAGGAGCTCCACGGACCAGATCCAGCCCAGGGTTGTGAGTTTGACACTCCTGCCTTAAATATTGCCTACATCAATTCTCTAACCTGCTGCAGTAATTTTTGCACTTGGGATGTTCCCAAAAGACATAAAGTACATTTTTCATATCATGGCATTCTCTCTCAGTTTTTGCTGCAAGTGTTTGATTCATTTCATTTAGCAGTATTGGTATGTAAACATCTATAAATGTAGCTCTATCTATGTAATCTATGGCTAGGGACAGACATTAGACAAACTGGTTTAAGTGATCAGAAACTGGTTTAAACCTGTAACAGAACATATATTCAGTACACATAAACCAGTTTAAAAATGGCTGAAATGAGTCTGAGATAAACCTGGTTGAATATAGTATCAGACTTAAATGATTTGGGTCAAACTGGTTTATGCAATGTCTGCCCCCTTCCTGGTTTAACTTAAACCAGAGCCCCCCAGCATCCCAGATGCTTTGCAACCCTGGGCAGGACTCTCAAGTCCAGAGAGCTGGGCTGGCCCCTCCCCTCTGCCCCCCTGCTCCCCCCACACACTCCCTGCTCAAGTAGGAATTCCCCACCACAGCATGGACCATAGCCAGCATGTGGTATGCTAGCTAATGCTGAGAGGTGTCTGTGTAAGACAGACAGGACAAAGGCAGACAGGCCAGTGTGTGCATGGGGCTTTTTGGAGCTAATGAACAGGTCAGCTGGTCCCTCCATTCCTTCCTTGGAAAAAGCTGTTTAAGAAGATCTTGAACTAATGAGAGAGCCTTTTGTTTTCTGGATGGGGTGCTAAATGCTGTTATCAACTCCCTGCTGTGCTGGTCAGGTGCAGCGAGGGGATGCAGACCCCCTCCCCCCATCCAATCAGAGCTTTCTGCTGGGGCCTGGCCATGTCCCCCTCAGCTCAGCATTGTGGAAGGGAAAGGAGGTCTGCTCTAGCACCCCCCAGCTTCTACCCTGAGTCACTGCAGGCATGTGCCTGCATTTCTTTAGTCCAGAGAGAATGTTTGTCTGGTTTCAAACCAGTTCAGCCTAGACTAACCTGCAAAGATTGAATCAATTCAGGCTCAGGCTTTTTGAATAGCTGTTCCTAGCCTATGAGAGGAATTTTGTTAGCTTGCCATCATAGTCCTTTAAAGAATTTTACTTTATTTCTGTTTGCCAGCCTAGCCTCATGATATCAATACTGCACCATAGTCCTAAGGGAAAAAATTGTCATATAGTCTGGTGGGATTATTTTGGTAAAGATTTACTGGCATTGTTAATTTTCTTACACAGTTCTTTATTGGAGATGAATAATTTTAAACAGCTTTCAATCAATGTGATTTCATAAATGTAGTATCTTAGCTATAAGAAGATGAAAACAAGTTTTGGTTTATTTATAATTTTATAATTTATAATTTTTTTAATTTACCTTTCACTTGAATTTTAAATGAAAGGCTTTTTTCCTTTTGCAAAAGTAATGATGCAGGAAACTGAATTTACCTTTGTAAACTACATATTTAAAGGGGTAGCAGGGTTGTTGGGTGCACTAGTAGAAGTTGTAGCTCTACCCACAGTGCAAGAATGATGGGCAACCTTCAGATTTATAGCCCAAACACACAATGTAATGTGAACACTGTACCATAAAATAGTGCCCTATATTAAGTAACCTGAGTGTTTTATAAATTGTTCAGTTTCTGGGGGGCAGTTGAGTTATTAAAGTTTGTCTCTCTAGCCAAACTTACTTTAGCTATTCCATATTAAAGTAATTTATTACAAAAAGAAAATCAATTCTGGACTCCTTTACAAGACCTTATAGTTTAAAAACAAAACACAAAACAAAACAAAACAGCAATATAACTTACAGAACTACTAAACTGGAGAGGTTTCCAAAAGCATAGTCTGGAATATGATGGATTTTGTTCAATGCCAGCGTCATTGCCTGAAGTGCTGGCAAACTCCTAAAAGCTTGCACAGGAATTTCTGTCAAAGAGTTGTCATCCAGCCACAGGTGTCTAAGAGAGACCAAGCCACTGAAACAGTTGGGTGGCACATAGTTTATGTGGTTGGCATCCAGACGACTAAGAGAAATAGAAATGTAAGAAAATTACTCCCTGAGAAAAATGAAGTGGACTGACACCATGAGCTTAAAGAACATTGTCAAGTGCAGTACCTAAAGGGAGAGCTTTTTTCCTAGCACTTTTCTAGTCAATAAAACAGACTTCCTTTGGAGTCATCAGTGCCTTTCTTTTATCAAAAGGGATCAGTCACTTTTGAACAGAGCCAAGTACCCTTTTCCCCATGGGCTGAACATAAATTTGTTTCCTTTAAGCATTCTCCATCATCCTGAGGGATTAAAACCAGAAACACTTTCATTATTTCTAAGAATCCAAGTCATGAGATTGAGTCCAAGTAATTTAAAATTTTTTGCAGACCTCATGGATTTCTTTACCATCTGAAAATAAGATGTATTTACATTTTGTTAAATATTACGTATGCCTATATTTCTAACAAAAGGTAAAATTAATGTGGTGTTCAAGGGCACAGAGAAATTCCAGTGTTGCTGATGAGGTGTGTTCATCTCTAGAAAAAGTTAAGAAATACATGTGGGTTGCTGCAGAGCCAACAGAGGGAGTACAATTGCTCAGAGGACTATTTAAAAGCTCTTAGAAAGCTTTCACATAATTTCCTGCTTTTTCTCTGAGCTCTGTAGGCCATCTTCCGCTCTCACATCGTTGGAAAAAATGAGTAATTTTATTTCATTGCAGTTATACAGGTGTCCATAGCTATGAAATAAGAGTTGGGCCCCATATAATCAATGGATTTTAATTATATAATTTAGTTCCTGGTAGAGAAATAAGTGAAAATATACATCAATTAACCAAAACTTTAGGACCATATATGATCAATATATTGCTTATAACTCCTATGGTTTCTGCCTGCATTTAAACTGGTTTTGGAACTTTCATGCTTATTTACAGCATAAAAGTAATTGCTCAACATTTGGTTACGTCTCAGACATACAGGAGAAATTAAAAATAGAACATTTGAAATTGTTACAGAAAAAAACATGCAGCCAGAGTGTAATGAAGTATTTCTGCACAATCCCAATTTAGTCTGTTTAAGAGAAATGGAATACTATTTATGACAGGTATACTAATCTTTTTATTTAAAGCTGCTTCCTCATTTATAGTCATGTAAAATGTCAGGTCCATTCCATCTTATTATGCCACACTACTTCTACCTATTGCATGAGAACAAATAATGAATCTGAAGGCTCTGTGCCAAACTGGCAAATAACTGAGACAAGGTCAGTTGGAACAAATTTATGAAGTTCAGTGTCAAAGCCCTTGTACAATTAAATTTTCTATATAATAACTGACATGGGAGGCAGCAGAGACATAGCTTCCAAAATAACTCAAGGGTCTGTCAACAAATCAGCGAGGCTGGAAATGTTTAGAAATATTCATGCTGCATTTCCCCAGCAACAACAGAACTTTCAAATAAGGCATAATTTGAGCAAATAGATGAGGTTTCTTTTTGTTTGTCTGGAAGTAAATTTCTCATCTGCATGATGTATGTATGTAAACTAAGGACTTGCAGTTGTGCTAATTTGACAGTTACACTGATTAAAGTATGAAGGCTTCATTCAATTTAAATGTGTTACTGTTTCTGAGTTAACATTGTTTCCCATATTTGATCTGAATCTGCAGCCCCTGGTCCTAACCTGCAATACTTGCTTTGGATTTAACACAATTGCTTATCTGGAGAAGTGATGGATGAAATGGCAATACTTCGGTTTATTTCAGTAAGATCACAATTTTACTATTCCAGCATTTTACAGCAAATTTAGGATTTGATTACTTTCAAGTATAAATTTCCTAATTTAAGAGTTGTCCCCTTGCTTTGTGCATATGCATATATAAGTATGCGCATGTCCGCGCATGCGTGCACACACACACTCATATCTAAAAACATACAGTGCACATATTTATATAGGAACAGTCATATTTACTTGTGATTCATAGCTAGATAACTTTATGGCAAAGCAAAAAGCCGCTCTGGTTTGTACAGTAGAGAATGTTACCAGTTGCACATATCACAAGTGCTTTTAAAAAGTACTACCACAAATGTTCCTTTGTTATCTAATCTTTTTTTCCTTTAATTCCTGAGTACCATTTCCTACCTGCAGATGATAAAGTGTTTCAGTTGTAGTTATGTTTCCTGTCAGCATGTAAATATTTTATAGTGATGTAGAAAGCCTTGAACAAAATTACAATTTTCAGTCAATTGCTTCACTAGTGTTGATCAAAGTTTCGGCACTTTTAAAATAAGTCCATTAACTCAGAAACATGACCTTATTTATAATTTAAAATATACAAACAACATTTGGGCATTTTGAAAGCTTCTATTATATTCCAAAGAAAGCCGGTTTAGGGAAACAGAATTATTTGATCTTCCCTGATAGGCAGCATATAAAATGACATCCAGCATGAAATTTATCATGAGCTCATTTAAAATGTCCAAACCTTTCAAAGTAAATGCATGTAGTAAACTATGCAGAACGTAATTTACTATAGTTGCTTGTAACATACTATGAATGCTTGGACCATATGCATTACAAGTTATATAAGGAAGAATAATCTCACTGAATTCTAAAAGTGGATGAAGTAAAAAGGCCGACTATGATACTTTAGGAGTAAAACACTAAATCCATCAATAACTTTTACTGTTTTTTGGTCCACAACTGGGAAATGCAGGGTCTGAGACAAGATAGTAATTATAATCCCCTAAAGATCAAGAAGGCAGTATTTGTTGGAAAATACAGACTCTGTGTCAGAAAAGAAAATGGTCTTTATTTCCTCCCTTGGAAAGAGGCAGATAAAACAAATAAATAATGGAATATTTGTAGGAGAGGGAAAGAAGTTAAGAGCATGGTGGCATGGTCAGTTTCAAAAGGTATCGGGTAGAAAGAGCGCCCGCTTCTTGTCATTTCAACCAAACAGCCTTCTTTTGTCCTTCCACACTCTCTGCCCCCTCCTTGTAATTTTGATTCTACTTGTGTGGGGCAACTGGCTTGAGAACTCAAATTGGGGCAAACTTACTGGAAGATCTGAGGTGGTGAATACAGCCTTTTGCCCTATAATAGGCCTGATTGGTGTGTGAAGGAATAAGTAACACGTGACCCTCATCAGTTCTACCACATTAATTAGCCAAAGGGTCTTTTTTATGACTATTTGCAAGGGTTTATAGGAACTGGGATGAGGCCTGTTTAAAGCAATAGGGACATCTGGACTAATCTAGAAAATGTGTGTGTATACTCTCCCAAACAGGGAGAATATAGTAAAGATAAATTGGCATCCTAGTTTTCATCATGCCTCCTTAAACAGGATACCCCTTCTGTGCTCCATAGATAGATGTTGGGGCCACTGAACATGTATGATTATATAGCCCTTCAGCTCACTTTTTCATGTCTTGCCTTTGACTCAAAACTTTTCCTACCCCACTAAACATCTTAGTGTGGTAGAGAGCACTTAGCATCTCTTGGGAGTTTCTTCCCAGTAATGTCTCTTATCCAAAGGCGAGATTCGGATGATTTCTTGAGGCACCTGCAGATATAAAATTGGGCCCCAGACAGAGTGTATACATTTTGATATATATGCATAACAAAAACTGTCTTATGTGGTTGCTCAAGAGATCAACCAAAGCCAGCTGCTTAATGGAGCTGGCCTTCTGATACAGAGAAGCAAAACTGCAGTCCATGAGCCTGCATCCCTGATGTAGTGCAAACTATCTGCATTGCACTGCTAGAATAACCTGACCCTTCCACTACTTAAAGTCTAGGGAACATCATTCAAGTTTATGGGTAGCATACACTTATCTTAGGGATTCTTAAACTTATCTTCCTCCCTGCTTCTAGTGTGGCAAAGGAAGGGGAGCTGGCTGGGATGGTCCTGCACTCTGGTGATCTTGATGTGTCAATCTTCTATAGCTGTCTGTAGTCCAGTGTAAGTTAGTTTACTTCAGGCTGTCCCAATATAGCAAGAGAGCCAGTTCCGCATAGATGTGCAGCAAGATGAGGAAAAGGCAAAGATAATCTCTAGGGCAACTTTGTATACATGCACATACAACTTGGCCTGCACTCTGGAATTGTACAATGTGTTTCCATACAGCTTTTAAGAAAGCAGATTTCCTTATGCAGGTTTCACTCATTATTGTAGGGAGAGAATGCATGATGATATGATATGGAATAAAGGTTTAACTGTCATACAATTAGGATCACTGTATCACCTCCAAACTTTATTACATGAACCATTTTCCCTTGTGTGATTTTTTTTTTTTTTTTTTTTTTTTTTTTTTTTCATCAAAAATCAACCGTTTTACAAGGTAATGTTCATATACAAAATATTTTGACTTTTCAGAATGGAGCAATCAAACCACAAAAAAACTGCTTGAAGCTGACATTTCCAAAGAGAGTGATTCCAAAAAATAATTATAATAAAGTTATCTGAGACATTTTCTATTTCAAAATTCAACATGAACCTTTATGGAATTCATAACCTACCACCTGTCATGTCTGGTTCACTTACTAACCTGAGTCCAACTACAGAGAGAGAGAGAGAGAGAGAGAGGTTTGTTCTGTTTTCCTGTACCTCTTACCTCAAACTCTCTGGGTAAGGCATTCTTTTTATATTTCTCTTTTCCCATTGAAAACAACTTTAGTTACCTTTTACAGAAGCAGGAGATAGGTGGCCTACATTTCTGTAAATACAATTCTTTGCTTTTTAATGTCCATTATGAACAGCGAGGTACAGGCAAGAAAGCCATGCTTGGTATGCGATTGATCTTGGAAATTTCCATGTGACTGAACAATACTAATATTACTTATTAACCACAGTGTCTAAACATGAAGATAAACAGAGCGTAAAGTTTCATTTCCAGCACAGTATTCTGCGTTAAAACACTTCCAGTTTAAGCATAGCAAAAAAGTTGCTTCATTAGGAATGTTAGAGTTTTCTTTTTATTATGATAGAGTTAGCATTACGAGAGCTGCAAACTCAGTTGTATGGTAAAAATCATA